GTGCGAATTGTGCAGAAGGCCACCCTAAGGCTCAAAAGGTCCTATAGGGATCCCTTTTGGGTTTCCTCATGTTGGTTTCACCCTTCTAAATGCTAGAAGTCGATACCACACACTTGGAACCACAAAAGAGGACGGAAATATGTTGAATTAAAACGAGGCGGGCACCACTTCTAAGGTTCTAAGATAGTCAAGGGAGGTCTCTAAGGCTAGATCCTAAACCCTAAGAGGAAGAGTAGACCTCGCTAAAAATGAGGTCAACACTACTATATGGAACGTCAAGTCGAGCGAAGAAAAGTTCAGAATTGCTAACGGGGAGGGCTTCTTCACTAGTTTTCTAGGAGTAGTCGACAGAAAAGTCCTACGGCTAGATCCTAGACTACTAAGGAGGGGAAAACTGCACCTCGATCGAAAACGAGGTCAACACAAACATATTTTATTTTTTTATTTTTTTATTTTTAAAAATATATAAATCATAATAGGACCAAATACATTTTCTAAAAATAGAAAACAAAACAAACTAAAAATAAAAACAAAAAGTGATCCCAAATAGACCTTTAGTTTTTGTGTTAAGTTGAGCTCTATATTAGCTAGTTATTTGGGATTGAGATGAGTTAATGGAAAATATTCTTTCAAACCTAGTTGTCGATGAGTTTATGTTTGGTGGTAGATTCTCTCAAAGGACTTTTACGGCTTCTTCATTTTTGAAAGAGATCTTCATACGTCAAATAAATTAATGATTGCTAATGCAGATCAACGTAAGCTTTAAGAATTATGAAGAGTGAATGGGGTTTACTAGGGGAGTTCGTAGTAAGAGACTTGGTTGAAAGCTAGAATAGATAATTGAATGTCAATGAATATAAATACGTTCCATATGTTGGTCTATCCTTCTCTTTCTTTAGCTAATTTACTGCTAGATCTGATCTCCTCCTTTTCCGTTGGATTACATAAATTAATTTTAGAGAGGATGCTTCAGATAAAGAAAGTGGGTTACATGTATGTGTATAAAATGAGAGAGCTCCAGAACTTCAATTTTCTAGAGCGGCTTCTTAGTTGGCCACTAAGAGGGAGAAGTATAAGTAATTATATGAATTGGTATTTCAAGTCTATTGCTATTGGAAATAAGTTAAAAAACTAAGTCTATTTATAGGCTTTAAACAAACTGTAAAAAACCCTTTTTGAATTTAGTTCTAATGCTTGAATATGAACTTTGAGCTAATCTCATAGTTGATATTAAGATGTATTCATTATATTAATTGTCCAAAACTTTCTTCATTTAGTTTTTTCATTTGCTTTAATCTTTGAAGGATTAGTTCGTCCATATATTTCAATATGCATGCCTCATGTAGATGAGAGAAATAGGATTTCATTTTGCTTTTATGAATTTGTCATGTATTGTATTGTGCTTAGATGAAAGTTCATGCAAATAACCACGATGATTTGTATTTTAGAGGCTAGGTATACCCTAGTGTGTGCTTTTTCTGTTAACTTCACTGACCCAAGTTGAAGTTTGCATGATATCAAGATCTTATTTTCTTAGTCTAAGTTGGAATAGGTTAGCCTCAAACACTTCATCATAGCATAAATTAGGGCACTGCATCAAGTTTGAGGATTTTCATCATCAGTTCAACTTGGTTGCCCTCTCCATTTTGATCAAATAGCATTGAAAACTCCCTCTAAACTTTCTTTGTTTGGCTACTTAAAAGATGAACTAGATGAATGCATGCATAAAATAAAACACTTCCTTTCTACACACACGCGCGCGCACGCACGCACACATATATATATATAGATAGATAGATAGATAGATAGTTTCTTTGCCATATAAAGTCGCTCGCCATATACTCTCTTATTAAAGCATTGATTGGATTGTTGAGTTTTTTCTTGTGAGCAAAGTGTGGAGAAGCTTGGTGGCTAATCTAACCTCTGGAATTTTGGAGAGTTTCAAATTTATCTTACTTGTTTATTCTTGTCTCTCCCTCCACCCTCTCGGCTTTGCAACTCCATATACTTTTGCTTCTACCTCCCTAACCCTCAACCTCCTTCATAGTTGACTACCCCTTATCCACACACCAAGTCGTATATCCCTTTCCTCTTTGGTTCGTCTATTTTCATGAACCATTAATTCACTTACCACTCTTTGACTTACCTCCATACCTGTCTCCATACATCTTAAACCCTCACACAACCATCCATCCAATAATAATGAGTCCCTTCTCCCTAAAAATCCTCCCTCCACAAACAAGTATGTTATCTTTTCCTAGTATTTTGGAATGCAATATTACTGTATATTAGTTTTGTGACCTTTCAATCAACATTCTTTAGTTCATTGTTGTGTAATTAAAAAATCTTTAAAAAGCATTTGTATCCAACATATTTTTGTCAATGCTATCATACATTTCAATTCTATCATTTTAATTTTCCCGTTGCTCTAAGAAGTTTTTGAATTTTTAGTGCTGGAAATAAAAATTTTTACATATATTTAGAATTTATACATATTTTGTACACTTTTATTAGATAATTAATATCTACAAAGCTTTGCTGATTCATCTATATATGTCATGTTTCAGATGGATATTCAGCCCTGCCATGCCATTCCTTTCAGCATTCATAATATCCTTTTACGTAGTTTGCAATATCATGCCCAGCATTGTTGCATAATTGAGATATTTTCGGTCTTTGTTAAGCTTAAGTTTATTAAAGATTCCTGAGAAGATTAATTGGGAAGATAAACTTCTAAAAGGCACGACCGAGTGGAAAGAACAAATGGCTGTGGCCAAATTATTTGAAGAACGTCCTATCTGGCCTAGATGGTCACTACATGAACGCTTGCTTGATGATGGTCTAGAAGTTACTGATTATTTGCTTAGAAGGTTATCCTTTAGTTCATTCTTTTCCTGTATTCTTGTTTCATGTTGTTTCACATTGAGAAAAGTGTCAAAATAGTCCCTGACTCTTTTCAAGTGGTCATTTTAGTCCTAGAGTTTATAAAAGTGTCAATTTAATCCTTACTCTTTTAATATGGGCTGAAATGGTCCCCACGGAGGACTATTTCAGCTCTAATTGAAAAGGTTTGGGGACTAATTTGACACTTTTAAGTACATTGAGACTAAAATGGCCCCATATAATTTAGTTAGAGGACTATTTTGATACTTTAGTCATTTCAGATTAAATTGCTACCACACCTTTATCTTTATTATATTGTTATTAGCATTATTTATTTTTTTTACTTCCCATACAGGCTTTTATTCAGAACAGGGTACTACTTTTCTCGTGGCCCATTTGGTCGATTTTGGATCAGAAAAGGTTATGATCCTCGTGAAGATCCTGATTCCCGAATGTAAGTAGTTTTCTTACATACTATCTTATTTGCATTTTCTTTTAATCTATTTTATTTGCGTACTCTTACTTTTTTGAAAAAAAAAGACAGTTTTAAGGGTAAATATAAAATTATATATTTACATACTCTTTTATGAAGATAAAAAAAATTAAATTAATACTTGGAGGTCCCTGTATATAGATGTAATATTTATGGCTATAAATAAATACGCAAGTATGCTTATACAGATCACTTCCTGAATATTAATTCTATGTTCTTAAACTTTTTCAAAAGATGAGTTTCTTTCTTCCATAGGTTAAAAGTTAGACCTTACATTTGTCTTGACAAAGGTCCATAGTTCTGCTCTAAACCTGGCCGGATATAGATTTGAGAGTTCCACGCTAAGGTCACAAAGTTTTCATCAAATTGGGTTGTGTGTTTATTTTTTATTTTTTTTTATTCTGTATTTTTTTTTAATATATCAGTTTTGATCTTAATTTATTAGAACTAAATGAAAATATGATACTAAATAGGACGCAATGGAGAAAAAGGATTCATGTAGCCGACCCCACGTAGTGGGATTAAGGCTTTTTCGTTGTTGTATTGGCTTCTGATTTAGTGGTCTGCTTTCTAAATTATAAATAAAGGATCCGAAACAAAGGCATTACAACTCTTATCAATTACATTGTTTGGGCAATGAATTTTTAAAACTGATATATTGAATCAGAGGTTATGTATTTCTTGTTAATAGTGCTCAAACTTTGTAATGGATGAAAACATATCAGTATTGAAGGTATATTTTAAAATAGAAGCTATCTATTAAACCTGAAAGTTAATTTTATTAATAATTCAGATTCAATACCATCCTAATCTTAATGCAAATCATCATAGTCTCATTCATTCAAGGTGATCAGCATGGTCCTGAGCAAGAAATGCCCATTATGTCAATGTATGTGTTTCCAAATATCTTGAGGTTTTAGGGCCTAAAACGTAACTTTAGTTATGTTCACTCTAATTTCTTTTGGTGATTATGTAGTTCTCCGCATAGAAACAGAAGAAGGGCACAAGCTCGAGGAAAATCTGAAATTATAATATGAAACCTTAATGATAAAAGAGGAGGGTGACTGGCAAAAATCCTTGATCAGTTACTTCAAATATGATAAATTTTTAACTAATTAGCGAATAAATCAAGTATTTAACAGACTACTTATTGCTCGGCTTAGTTAGATCTTGTTTATGATTGTTTGATTTGCTTAAGAACAAACTTGAACATTGTTGTTAATACTCAATTGCCAATGAAACAAAATTAAATATTTTGTTATTTGATTCATTTTCATGAACATTATCATTTATGGTTTTGAACAAGCTCAATTATGGCTCTCAAGACAGCAATATCATTTAAAAATAATTTTTTTATACTCTACAAGCTTTATTTGATATAACTTGTTTATTTTTCTAATCAAGCTACTGGTGAATTAACTTGATTAAGACTCGATTATAATTCATTTATTTTGTCAATCGAGTTGCTCGTTAATAGTCTCGATAACTCAATATGAATTGAGCCCACATATAATTTTTTAAATGAGCCTAAGCTCAAACACAATCTTAAAAGCTCAAATGGAGCTTGAGTTGAGCTTGAATAAGATGTTGATAAACAAGATAAGCTCAAACAAGAGCCTTCTTGGCTTGACTTTGTTGATTTGCATCCCTATTGTAAACAAATAGATAGCCATAGAGATAAAAAAAGCTCTACGTTTTGCCTTTGTCAGCAACATTCTTTACCATTGATTTTTTAACCAAATATGATTAAGATGTCCGTGGAATGAAGAAGTTGAGAAAGTTGTAACCAAAGCTCATGAAAGGTTGTGCAATGCACACCAGCCATGCCTTAATATGACTGTCTTAATCAAAAGAATGGCTATTATTGGCCATGAATGAAGAAGGAATGCATTGATCATATTGATAGGTAGAATGACTGTCAAATTTATGTTGGCATAATTCACCAGCTTCCAAATCTTCTACATCCAATGACGACATTCTGACAATTTAAATGCTGAGGCACATTTATAATTCGTACCATTGATCCATCATCTAGGAAACATCGTGTCTTCCTAGATAAACTAATTATTTTTCTAAGTGAGTTGAAGCTGTTTTATTCAAAGAAACTATCTCTCAACAAGCGGTAACTTATTTACCCACTACATTGTCTATCAATTTTATGTACCATACCATATTATCTCGAATAAAAATTTAACATTCCAAAAGATTAATATATATAGATTTGTAGATAGATATAAAATTGATTAGCGATATTCATTAATTTTTAAACCAAGAGAAGAAGCTTTAGTGAATGCTTTCAATAAAACTTCTCGAACTATGCAAAACAATATTCTCAAAGAACAAAATAAAATGCTATATGACAATGCTTGAGGTAATTTGGGCATATCCAACTTTTTATACAATCTCAACTCAATCAAGTACTTAGCCTTGGTATTTGGAGCTCAAGTAGCATTGCCATCAATACAAATAGTTGTCCCGTAAGAACTCACTCAATACCAAAATGTTCGCTTGTAAACATAAGAGCTTGACGCACCTGATGAAGTTAGACTTCAAGCTCACAAAATCTTAAAACTTTTCGGCAAATGTTTAGGTTTTTTATCGTACGGTGCATTCTTAGACTTTCTAAGAAAGAATTTATTGAAGTGTTGCAAAGGCCAATTATTTCCAATTGAAAATTGTTGGCAAATTTGGATCATGTGAAGATATTTTTTTATTGAGAAAGCATACTATAGAGGAGTCTTAAATTACCAACTTGGATGATTAAAACTCGATTCACCAATCAATAACCAATATTTGAAGAAATGCTATATGTATCATCCTCATTGAAATGACAATATCAGATTCAAGTGTTGTAAATAAAATCTCCTTGTCCGATGGATACATTTTCTTAAAATTTTGTTTTCAAATTTATTGAAATACCTCTTGTAGATGCCCCTACAATATGGAGGTATCTAACATATTTATTAGGATTAGGATTATGCTTAATGTCGAGATCCCTAAATGGATATCCATATGAGAAAGAAAACACAATCTTCAAACATAACACATGTATCACTAAAAGTCAAAGTATTATTTATTTGGCTAACTAAGATCCTACATGTCAAGTGAGAGGACTATCAAGTTAACAAAATTTATCCAATCAAGTTGGAATGTCTCAATTTTCTCAAGGCTCAAGTGTTGACCTCCATATCTACTCTGCACAATGAAGACAATGAATAATGGGCATGAGAACAAACTGCTAGGTGCTCATTAACATTAATGGTCACTAAAGCTACCCAAAACACCATCTAATTGTAAAATAGACCACTCCATTGCATTTTTAGCATTGAGATTAGCTCAGAAGAGATATATTATCAAAAGAGGTGGACATAATGACAATGACGAGACTTGAATGTGACATCACGCGAATTGAGGCCAGGATGACCAACCGACAATAAAATTAGTCAAATGACATTCAATCCTAAATTGGACTTTGTCGATGCATTCAAAACATCAAAATTATATCGATTTATCTTTTGTGATTGAAAGGAACAAACATGACGAAAGCAATAGATTGCCGACGTGACACATGCAATTTGGATTCGACTTTCTCAATTGTCACCAAAATTTGCTCAAACGACCTCAGATCACCAAATGGACCGTGCGAGCGCGTCTAAAATATCAAATTTGCTGGAGGACACCCATATTATTGGGTTTTGTATATGAATTGCTAGCATGGATTTCGAGACAACATATGATTTAAAAAAATATTTCAAATGTATCTTCTTTAGAAAGCTAAGTCGCCTATCCCATTTCATGCCCCCATACCTTTGCTACCTTACTTAACCAATAAAAAAAAGATAGAATAATAAGCTTTTTATTATTATCTAATATAACTATTGGATCCTCCATCTCACCTAAACCCCTGCTCCACTCCACTGCCCCATCTTTTGCACCACCGTTCATGCAAAAACACTCTCGTCTTCACCCAACTCATAAGAGACTGAAAACCACAATGCAATAGCTTCTTTCTCACAGACCTGCAGAATCTCGTCTCACGCAGACCCACTGTCCTTCCTTGCTTCTTGCTTTCACTGACATCCATTGTCTAATTTCTTCCCATGTCTCGCCATCTGCTTGAGCCCCTCCTTTCCATCTCTATCTCAGAACTTCACTCCGATTGCTCCTGTCGCTACAGCACTGAGTCGTGGTGTTAAGAGCCACAACGAGCAGCAGCAAACCAAGTTATGAAAGTCTATCTCACGCCATCCCGGGCGTTTGCTGTCTTTTACTTCCTTTTGTGGAGTTGTTGCTTCGACTGTAGCTGGTGGAACTACTCTTCATGGTTTTTAGCTGGAGCAGAACAAGAAACCTGAAGAGGGAAATCTGCCATTGATATGGAGAATACAAGCACATTCAGCATGGAGGGGATTATTCACCTGCAAGCAAGCCACCTCCAAGCGTTGCTTCTTGCATCTCAAGCAGGCCAGCTATTGCTGCACCTGCATCAACCAATTCTGTTACGAACCCTTCAAATCTCTAGCATTTGCTATCCCAAAAGCATCAACATCAAGTTCTTCGGCTTCCAATTCAGCAACTTGTGGCAAAACGTTTACATAGAGTTGGGTAGTTCTTTTGTCATGTTTTGAGAGGTCAGCCAAGGAGGCATTTGCTCTAGAGTGGGCGGAGTGCTTTTGTGTGCAAATTGACAACTACATGTAGATGAGAGGAGCAATAAGGCACCAAAGCAACATACCATTCTCACTCATATTGAGCCGGAATCCCTAGGGAACAACCATTCAGTCGGGATGAGGTTCAAAATGAGTTTTGAAGGTGAAGAAGTTCTTGTGCAAAGGCTCACTACTATAATGGTTCACAGGGGAGATGTTGGTTTTAGCAGTTGGCCTGGTTCAAAATGGAGAGGCTGTCTTAAATTCAAAAGGCAAAAAGAGCTCAAATCGCTTCCCCCATCTAAGTCGATAGAGCCTTCTATGATTCTTGGAATTGCAATGGAAGTGCAAGTTTCACCGCATTTCCGCCATCAATCATTTAGCACAAAGGTATTACACGGAATTAAGTACATGTTTTCGTTGTTCCAAAGAGTCGTAGAAACTTGCTTGTTATGAATACTCATTCCCGTTATTCCAATGGGGCAGAAAAATCTTGTTTTAATTACCCGTTCAGGTTATTCTAACCCAACAGGAAAAATATATAGTGACAAGGCTTTAAAAGAACCAAATTATAATTCCTAGGGGAGAAATGCAACATAAAAACGAGCTAATATTAATTTTTAGAATAAAAAATCGAAAGTGAAGATGAATAAGAACAAAATTGTAAACAAGGAATTGGAGCAGATTTGGAACTAGTCATAAAATAGACTTATTTTTTACATTTGAGCATGCAAAAAAGGGTCCTTTCAACACTTGAACCCTGAAAACTATAAAGAATTTGAACATGAACCAAGGTATGCTTTTATTTATAGGAGAATTAATTCCTTGCAAGGCCCGCTTCAATTAAAATATGAAGTCATATGTAAACAAAAATATGACTCTTTGAAAGCACATAATGGATTTTGAGTCAACCATTGCAAATCAGATCTGCGACATAAACATGCAAGCAAATCAAACATAAATTTTAAAGATGAAAAAAGAATCATTGCACATATTTTAACGTTAAAGAAGTTTTGTATGAACACTTGAATCTAAATATATTTATGACCTCTGCAAACATCATGAGTCAGTTTTCAACTCAAAGTCAACACCTTGAAATGTGTGCAGACGCACAAAAAACTACGCTCATCCTTTAAACACATCAAACTGTCTGCATATGTCATGATAATAAATATGCACAATGCATAAATCTAAAAATAAAAAAATAGTGTACTAAAGGCAGGTTAACTTGAATTGAGCCTTGCCTTAAAAATGTGTAACTATTATAGAAAGCATGTAATTATTTTGAACTTCACAAACTCTCTTTTAAAATTTAGACTCATCTCTATATTATATTCACATTCTCGAGCTTGCCGGGTACAGCTTAGGATTTTAAGTTTCATTCTACAAGCCTTAAATTTCATTAGCAGTAGAGCTGACAAGACTTGTGCAATAATTTTATAGGAATTGCTATCAAAAGAATGATCTTAAAATTCTGTTCTTTGTCAATTTTAGTGAACAAGATTTATCTTGAATTTTTAACTAGTTGATCAATTGTAATTCTCACACATTTTGTTTTATATTTGCATAAGGCCTTGATAACCATTAACAAATAGAATTTAAGCTTTTAAGGTACAAGTATGAGATCAAATCTATAGACTCAATGCTATACATATATGATATAATTGACAAGGTTTGTAATACATTGAATGTTTAAATAAATTTAAGTGATACCCAAACTATAAACCAAAGCTTTTGCAAGAAAATATGTAGAGCTCATGAGGTTAAAAGCAATCAAATTAAATAGTTTAAAATATGCCTATGATGGATAGGGTCATTATACATCTTTATTGAAGAGCTCTTTAATTATCAAGTCAAGTGTTCTCAAACATCTTTTCCAACTGATGGCCTTGTTGATAAAAAAAAACTCAACTTGTTAGAGTCTTATTATCAAAATGCCCTCAAATTTTAATGCAAACCATTTTGGCTCAAATGCACACAAAAATATAATAATTCAAAAGAAAAAAAATGTTCAATCAAAGTTTATTGCTTAAGCTTAAAAAAAATTTCCATACATTACTCACATTAGTTTGTCAAATGCGACAAATTTAAGATAATTTGAGTTCACAAAAACTATTATTATGTCCTGCATATTTCAGTGGTTACTATCGAAGAGCTTAGGCTAGTAAGGAAATAACACATTTTTTAACCAGGTTCTTTTTGTCGAAAAATGATTTTTTAAACGTATAGTTATAATCAATGTTATTTTTATTATGTTCATGGTTAAAGGCTCAAAAATTCTCTAATGACTCAAGAAGTAGGGTGATGGATCATAGTGCACTTGATAAAGAATAAAACCCTCTATTACCTAAAGTTTATTTAGCAATATTTTCTTAGACAAATATTCACTTAATATTTATAATATCTATTTGGACAAGGTATATTCTGGCTACTGATAATGAGTTTTTTTGGTCATATTGGGTCGACTATCTATACTGACTAATTAGATCAAGGTCCATGTTAATTACCCCCGCATCCTCTCCGATCCCGTCGTTGCCACTGCAAAAGATGAATATTTTTCTTTAAGTTCAAGGTTCTATATCATAAAATTAATTCGTTGCTTGCTATAAACTATTCATTTAGCACTTTTTGACTATCCTTGATAAAAAATTCTCTCTGGATTATGAGGGTAGCTAATTATAGAGGTTTGCGCCTATGAAAAATTTGAAATCCAATTATAAAACTTTTACGAAATGAGGGTGAAATCTCTTGGCAGTGTTTTATCTAAAATCTAATCTAATTTTTGAAAATTTAACTTGGAACCCAAACTCTTACAAAAGAGTTGATTCTAAACTTTTGGAGCCTATGCCCATGGAGAGGAGTGATAATGCAACATTTCAAATTTTTATTTTTATTTTAATTTTTGTTTCACACACACACACTCAAACACACACACCCTACATATACAAGGCCCTGAACCCAAGGCCTCTTAGTTGAAAGATAAAAGCTTTCAACCACTAGGCCAAGGTAGCTTGCAACATTTCAATTGTTTAAGTTCAATGCTGGAAGTTGTTATAACAGAACATATCACCATGCCTAGTAGGTTTTTATTCTTATTTTTATGTTACTTAACAAGTGACCTTGATGACAAATCGAGCATTGCACGGTTTCTTTAATATCATTAAATTCATAAACTTTTTTTTTTTGCGATTGCAATATATCTGCGAAGCTTATCATCTGTAACTTATAATATAATTAGATAGTCATAGAGGACATTTTGTTGCAATTCCTTTTACACAACTTCTATCCAAATTATTTTCCCCCTTTTGTTGGCAAGAAAGAGCTCAGCTCGGCTTGCATGAGGGAGGGAGCAGAACTTCCAAGCATTTTGTGCGATGGTTGGAGGTTAGTAGAGAGACCTAAAATTCTGAAGGCGTGCTTCCAAAATCCAGACGAAGTTGAGTTCTTAAAATAATCAGCAAGAGAAAGGAAAGGTTCTATCCCTAGAGGAAAAATTGGTTAGGTCCGGTTAATTCCGGTTAATTGGTTCAAGTTTTTCTCGTTATCTTCTCATCTATTGGAAACATGGAAGCATCTTAAACTTATCATTTTTTCTTCTATTTGTTTAAAGCTTTTCTTCTTTAATATATTACATAACTAGCCATTTTCCTATTGTCTGGTTAATAGTAACATTTTCTCCTTGCTTGATTACAGATATCAAAAAGTTGATTTTCGGATGCCACCTAGCCTGAGAAATCTCAAAGATGTGAATGCAAATGCTGAGTGAGTGCATTTTATTTGTTTCTCCAGGCCATAGCTTATTAATTGCATTTTTGTGCTATTTTTTTAATTTGTTGTCTGTACAAACTACAAATATGTCATCTTATTGATTATTTATGTTTCTTGTTTATGAAATTTTTAGAGGTTTGCTTGGATTCAATAATATGAAAATACACTACTCCATGTTGATCTTGATACCTGCTTAACAATACGATGCTAATGATATAGAATGGCACAAATCAGAATCAAGATCCATCTTGCAGAATAAGATCTTTTCATCATCACTTGTTTTGCAAAATAATAGCGCCAATGTGCTCAGAGCATTGAAATTGTGAAAAGAAAACCACCATATTCAATCCAAGCAAACTCAATGACAATAGAGGACTATATACACGAGGTTGCGCTAAAATCATCTAAAAAGCTTAGACCGCAATCTAAATTGCTCGATCGTTGCTCGTTTTGCAAAACAAACCATGCCAATTCATTCAGAATGTTGAAGTTACCTAAGAGAGACCCACATATAGTTAAGCTTTTACACAAGAAAAAGGATGAGAATTCACACACATACGAGTAACAAAATCAAAATAAGATGCATAAATACCAAAAGTCACTAGGGTTTACTTAAAATTGATAAAAGTCTATTGCATATGAGTTAATGATGCGACATTGATGTGCTAAAGGTTACCACTTGTATGTGAGATATGTGAATGATGAGAAGTAATTAGGTGAGAAGCTGCCCATTAATTAAAAGAAATTAATTTAAAAATTTTAACTTAAATTTATAGTAAATACAAATTAAGTTAAAATTAGTTTTTTTGAATTATGATTATATATCAAACAATTATTTAATAAAAGGCTTCTCTTACTCTCTCACCTCTCCCACACTTTTGGCCTTCCTCATCTCACCAAAATCACTCGACTCTTTCTTTGTACATCTTCATGCTAATGCTTTTGATGGCCTGTCTGCTTAAATGCATTAAACATGCCGCTAACCCATTCGTCATTTTTGACATCTAGGCAGTCAAAACTACATCATGACCCCTCTCCGACCAATGCCTGTGGTCCCCCGCTCCCACTTTCACCTCACCACTTGGAAGGTTATATCCCCCTTGACGCTTCCTTGGCTCAACTCACTCCACACAGTGATGTACCCCACCTAAGTTTTGTTGATCCTACACAAATTCATAACTTTCTTTTCTCACTCTCCTTTCATTTGCGACTCACAACATCCAAGCTCTCCTCTGCTAACAAACTGCTAGTCATTATTATCACCAGCTGCTATCTCGCTCCCTGCAAACCACGAACTAATACATTCACAGGGTTGAACCCTATCTCCTCCTTTCCAAATAACAATTGTAATCCCTTTCTCTTCAATTGCTACCTCAGTGAACGCTTTAGTAGCCACGCCAAAACCTTACCCAAGCTCTTTGTTCATCAACCACCATTGCCAATTGAATTCAGTATATATAAATGCATATGTATAGAATGCGATCCTCAAAATTAAAAAAAACAAAGTACTGCATGCCATCTAAAGACAAAATATTCATGTAATTTTAACTCTCCCTTGTGCTTCACAAAGTAATTTTCAACTCAATTATTATGCATAAAAATTCATGCAATTTGCTTTGAAGGTGCACAGGTTCTATAAACCATCTTCATTTTTTTAAAAGTCAACACATCTGTATATTCTCCGATGAATGTGCTAAATGTTCAAATTTAATGTTTGAAAATTTTTGTGAACTAGAAAATTTGTTTGGGAACTATGCGCTTTGAAGTTTCGCATAATCATTCTGAGTTTTTTTTAAACATGTTTTTTCAAGATTTAAAATAACGTTTTTGATATAGTTGCCCACTTACAAAATAAGATCGTAAGTTTCTCTTAACATATCTGATCCTCTTTCCCTTAAGGACCGA